AAAGAGGAGAGTTGGCAATGGATGTTGGCTCAGGGCAAATCTTCCTCACAAAAAAAAGAAGAAGAAAATGGGAAGACTCAGTCTACCTGATTTCAAGATGTATTATATAGCTACAGTAATCAAGACTGTGTGGTATTGGCCGAGGGGTAGACACACATGTCGGCAGAACAGAACAGAGAACCCAGAAATAGACCCACACAAATATGCCTGACTGATTTTTGATAAAGGTGCAAAAGCAACTCAATGGGCAGAAAAGAGCTTTTTAAACAAATAGTGATGGAAAGTTGGACGGCCACAGGCAAAAAATTTAATCTTGACCTGTCTCACACCTTAAACAAAAAAGTAACTCAAAATGCATCACTGGCTTACGTGCAAAATGTAAAACTATGATTTTTTTAAAAGCATAGGAGAAAATTTTGGGGATCTGGGGGTAGGCAAAAATTTCTTAGACTTGAAACCCAAACCACAATCCATAAAAGACAAAATTGACAAACTGGACTTCATCAAAATTAAAATCTTTTGCTCTGACAAAGATCCTCTTAAGAGGATTGAAAGACAAGCTGCAGAGATGGAGGGGCCAGCCCAGTGGCGTAGTGCTTAAGTTTGCCAGCTCTGCTTCAGCGGCCTGGGGTTCGCAGGTTCGAATCCCGGGTACAGACCTATACACTGTTCATCAATCATGCTGTGGCGGCATCCCATATACAAAATAGGGGAAGATGGGCACAGATGTTAGCTCAGGGACACTCTTCCTCGCCAAAAAAAAAAAAAAAAAGACAAGCTACAGAGATGGAGAAAACATGTGCAAGTCACACGTCCAAGAAAGGACTACTGTCTGGAACCTACAAAGAATTCTAAAAACTCAACAGTAAAAAAGCAATCCGTTAGAATGGGGAAGAAACGTTTCACCAAGGAGGATGTACAGATGGCAAATAACCACACGGGAAGAGGTTTAACATCATTACCCACTAGGGAAACGCAAATGAAGACCACAATGAGTATCACCACACACCCATCAGGATGGCGGAAAATAAAAAACTATGACAACATCAAATGTGGGTGAGGGCACAAAGAAACTGCATCACTCATACATTGCTGGTGGAAATGCAAAATGGTACAGACTGGGGCCAGCCCAGTGGCGTAGTGGTTAAGTTCGGCACACTCTGCTTCAGTGGCCCGGGTTTGCATGTTCTGATCCTGGGCATGGACCTACACCACTCGTCAACCGTACAAAACAGAGGAAGGTTGGCGCAGATGTTAGCTCAGGGTGAATCTTCCCCATCAAAAAGAAAATTTTTTTTTAATAGTACAAACTGGAAAACACTCGGCAGTTTCATAACTACTAAATATGCAACTACCGTACAACCCAATGATCGCACTCCTGGGTGTTTTATCCCGGAGAAATGAAAACCTATGTCCACCAAAAAAATGTGCCTGAATGTTCACTGCATCCTTATTTGTACCAGCCCAACACTTGAAACACCCAGATGTCCTTCAGCGGGTGAATGGTTGAACTGCAGTAAATCTGTAGCAGCATATGACTCAGGAATACGACTCAGCAATGAAGGTGAACAAGCCATCAATACGCGCACGCAACAGCCTGGATGCATCTCCACAGAACTGTCAAGTGAAAAGAGCAAATCCCCAAATATTACAGACTGTGTGATTCCCTTTATATGACATTCTCAAAATGTCAGGGTTATAGAGAGAGACCATGAGTATCGCCAGGAGGTGGGGATAGCGCGGGCATTGGTGGTGGAGAGCAGTGTGAGTATAAGAGTGTAGGATGCACACAGGAGGTCTTTGTGTTGATGGAATAGGTTTGTATCTTGATTGCTGCCATAGTTACGCAAATCCACACAGGTGGTAAAAGGGCGTAGACCCCCACACACGTAATACCGAGGTCAGTTTCCTGATGTGGATAGTACACTATAGTTACGGAAGATGTCACCGTTGGGGGAAATTTGGCAAATGGTACACGGGATCTCTGTGTATCCCCTTTGCAGTTTCCTGTGAATCAATAATTATTGCAAAATAAAAGGCTAAAAATCCCAACAAAGCACATTACGTTGAGTGAGAAATTCAGACACAAAAGAGGTCTGTGTAATTCCAATTTTACGGGTCTTTAGAAAAGACAAGTCTGATGGATAGGAACAGAGAGCAGATTGGCGGCTTCTTAGGGCTAAGGCTGGCTGGACAGTTTGGGAAGAGGCACAGGAATATTTGCTGTATGTCTTGATTTTGGTGGTAGCTACCTCATCATGTAAATTTTCCAAAAGTAATCAAAATGTACACAGTAAGTGAATGCTTTTTTTATATGGATATAAGCTATATGTTAATAAAGTTGATTTTCGAAACAAGTGGTTTTTCCAGATTATTTAACAGTTATGTAGCGGTTCTTAGGTAGCAATGAAGGGTAAGCCGTCTTGTGTTCACGCTTCCCTCCCCCCTTAGTGATACAACCCTAACTTCTTTCTCAACTTGGATTACGGCTGGTGCGGTCCTGTGATTGGTTCAGGCTGAAGATATCTGAGAGGAGACAGTCTGAGCATCCTTAGGCCGTCTTCTTAACGGCAAAGACATCGCCCTGGAATCTCTTTCCTCCTCCCGCCCCCTCCATAGTACAGAGCGCCCAGTGCGGCAGCTGCCCTGGACCCAGAGGTGGGAGCCACATGTCAGCATGGCACAGCCGAGCCGTCAGCCGTCGTCCCCGGGTGGCTTCAGGACAGACTCATTTCCCTCCTCTCGCTGCAGGATCCCAGGAGGAGGAGAGAGCGGCCGGTTCACTTAAACTGCGTGTTTGGAGTCTGTCTGCTTCAGCGCTTTACCAGGACGTGAACGTGCCCCGTGCTGCCCACCGGCGGGTGTGAGAGTGTCCATTTCTCCACACCTTGTGGTGACACTGAGTATTGTCAAACTTCTTACATGATGGGAAAAGGACAGCCTGTTGCTGTGGTTTGATTTCTATATTCCTGGCCATTAGTAAGTGTCATGGACTGAATTATGTCCCCTCCCCAAATTCATCTGCTGAAGCCCTCACCCCCCAGTGTGACTGTATTTGGAGACGGGGCCTTGAAGGAGGTGATTAAGGTTAAATGAGGTCACAACGTGGGACCCTAATCTGATAGGACTGGTGGTGTCCTTATAAGAAGAGGAAGTGACGCTACAGATTTCTCTGTCTCTGTCTCCCCTACAAACACACACACGCATGGCCAAGTGAGGACACAGCAAGAACGGGGCCGTCTGCAAGCCAGTAAGAAAGGGTTTACCGGCAATCAGCCATGAAGCAACCTTGGTCTCGGACTTTCCACTTCCCAGAACTGTGAGAAAATGAATGTCAGTTCTCAAAGTCCCCAGTCTGAGGATTTTGTCATGACAGCCCGAGCTGACTAAGTCTGTCAGGCTCAGACATTTTCCATACGTATTTATCAGACATTTACCCCTTATTGTTTGTGAATTACGTGTTCATATTCTTTGCCTAGTTTTCTTTAACAAAAAAGTCCCTATTTGTAGGAGATATTATATTAAAAATGTCCCACCTTTATAAAATATGTTGTAAATCAATTTTCCAGTGTGTCATTTGTCTTTTGGAATGGATTACATTGTCCTTTTGCATATCAAATTTCAGAGGTTTTACAGAGTTGAAACTGTGTCTCTTTTCCTTTGGGGCATCTGGATATTCTGAGCGACTGAGGATGGGGGCCAACCATGCCAGATAACCGATCCTGAGATTACAGGGCTCCAAGCCCTTGGTACCAGCTAGTCTCTGAGGAGGAAAAGGGGCTGAGATGAGTTCATTGCACGGCCAGTGAGAGAGTCAGTGGTGCCTGCATGATGAAACCCCAACAAAAACTCGGGTCACCAAAGCTCAGGTGAGCTGCTCTCTTGGTGACACACATCTGTGTGCTGTGGGGGTGGCACAGCCAGAGGACATGGAAGACTGGCATTAGGGACTGTCCCAGCGCTCTCTGATGCTCCCACTCGCAAGATGTTTCTCTCCAATAATTCAGCATTCTTGTTATTACTCTTTCTTCTCCATGCCCATCTTATTCAACAGCTTTAGCTCTTCCTGTCTTCTTGCTTTTTCCAGAAATTTCTCCAACACCCTAATTTCTTTTTCATTGTTCCTGTTTCTTCACTCACTCTAGATTTCCCTTCTATCACATAAACTTGGAATGAGAGGTTGCGAAAGGACTCCCAGGAGGATTAAAATAGAGCACACTGCGTGTGTGCCCCTGTGCCCTTGGGTCCGCGTGCCAGGGACCCTTTCCAGGAATGCACATCTTGTTGGGTCGCCGTTCCTTACTCTGAATTTCAGATTACCATCCAGGTACCCAGAGCACTCTCTTCCTTCTTTCCCCTCTTCCCATTGCTCTCCCTCAATATCTTCACCGTGTTTCCTTATTTCCTGTAGCTTAGCGCACAACCTGAAGGACCTACAACTAGAATACACAACTACGTACTGAGGGGCTTTGGGGAGAAAGGAAAAAAAAGAAGATTGGCAACAGATGTTAGCTCAGGTGCCAATGTTTAAAAAAAAAGAGTCTAGCTTAAGATCTGCCTCATCTTCTATTGCTTTTTCTAAAGAAAAATAATTCAGGATTATCTTTCAGAGTTAAGAAACTTGCTTGAATCATCACAACCCCATTAAGCAACATTATTGTTTGACACCGAACGGGCAACCAGGCTTTGCACCACACACATCGTGAAGGTGAGAAGACTTTCCTCTTTATTATATTTCCCTGAGAGATGAAACATCACCGCCTGTTTCATAATCTAAATAACATACAGACATGTCATCAAGGCAAGTTTAAAAAGTACAACTGAATTCTCCCAATTCAATAAGGAAGTCTAAAATATATAAATTTATATTTACAGGAATTTGCGGGAACTACCCACCTGACTATAAGTAAAAATAATATATATATTATGTAAATATAATAGATAAAAACACAAAAAGTCTCTTAAAAATGTAAACAAAATTACGTATATAGCAGCTATAATGCTCATTACCAAACTTTGCGTGTTTTCAAAACCATGACTATTTCAAAACTATTTACAATAAAAATATAAATTATAAAAATCAATATAGTAATCCTATGGGCAACATTTTAAAAATAAACCAATGAAATTTCTGGCATATGTGAAGTTATCCATCCCAATCCTTGGCTCTAATTTGATATTTTTAAAATAATTCCCTCCTATCTGGAACCCCTACACTCCGCCTTCAGATTGTTCTAGACTGTGGAAACCACGTGGGTAACAACCAGGCCTGCAGCTTCTACCTCGGGGGACGGTTGAGTTCAACAGTCTGAGGATGTGGCAGTGCCTTAGGAAGGGGTGGACGCTGAGAAGACCCTGGTTCCTTCTTGTCCCTCCCTGGACTCCTGGCTGTGCCCCCAGCTCCTAGGAGTACGACACGAGAACCGTTCGGCTCATTCTCAGGTTCTGGGTTCTTCTAGACTATGTGCATAATTGGCTCCTCTCTTCCTTCCTCATGTCTGTCATTGGTGTCTGGGATGACTTCCTGCTCACAACCCGCGTCTCCCCGGCCTCAGTGACCTGGAAGTAAGAGAAAGAGAGGAGGTCAGATTGTGAAGAGGCAACTCCCCACATACGAAGATGGGTCACATTCTCAGTCAACTCTAACCAGAGTTTAAACAAACTGATAAATCACACTGTGTCTCTGATCTCCATTCTAAACCCCAATCCTGAACCATCATTTTCAGGTGTGATTCTTGGACTTTGGTGAGCCTGACGCCAAAAATTACTTAACACGCCTAAGGGCAGGCCCAGTGATCGGCTTTATAGACAAGACTGGGGGATGCTGCTCAGGGAGTGGCGCCCACGTGGAGGAGATGCTGCTTTAGGCTTACCTTGCACGTCGTCCTTTGTGCTGCTTAAAATCTGGACTTCCAACCACACTACGAACATCACTAACCTGTCAGCATCAGGAACCATGAGACCAGATCCCTAAGGATGAAGGCCTGGTCCCTAATGCTAACCCTGGATGCCAATGTTTAACCATGACACTTAGCCCTAATCTTGGCTGTGGTCTGAATGCTTGTGTCCCCCAGATTCACACGCAGAAATCCTAACCTCTAAGGCCGTGGTGTAGGGAGATGGGGCCTTTGGGAGGTGATTCGGTCGTGGGGTGGAGCCCTCATGAATGGGATCAGTGCCCCTGTAAAGGAGACCCCAGAAAGCTGGCTGGCCCGTTCGACCAGGTGAGGACACAGCAAAAGTAGGCAGTTGGCCACCCAGAAGAGGGTCTCTACCAGAACCTGACCACGCTGGTCCTCTGGGCTCCCAATTCCAGCCTCTAGAACTGCGAGAAGTCAATGCTGGTCATCAGCCACACAGCCTGCGGTACTCTGTTAGCAGCCCTACTGGACTAAGACACTAGTTCACAGGTTTAAACCAAATCTTTGCTTCATCCTCTGCCCAAATCTCCCACTCTCGCCTGTTGATTGTCAGCAGCCGCACTGAAGCTAGTTTTCTTAGCCTTTGCTCTTTCCGACACATTCCTTGACCAGAAACTTGCGGGAAAAAGTGCAATGGTGCAAGAGGAGAGGTTGGTGCAGAAGGGGCGAGTCGGGCGAAAGGAAGGGCTCACGGGAGATCTGGCCGTAAGCAGTGTGTTTGAAAGTAAATTTGGCTGAAAACATAGCTGGTCATCATTTATCGTCTATGATTGGCTACGTAGACTGTCCCATCTAACATCCTCTTGTTAAGCATTGACTTTTTGTGAACAAGTTCCTATGGCTGGTATCACCGAAGGATGGCAGGCCAAAAACGAATTTAAAAAAGAAATTCAAAAACACAATATATGGAAAAAATGGGAAACGTATTCATTTTCATAAAAATCAATGTTTCACTAAAGCTATTATTAAGACCCAACAGCTTTGGGTGCAGTGATTTCAGCCAAATCCAGGACTTGGTGACAAGCTGGTTCCTGAGGTGTGGCCACGCAGACAGGCCCCGAGGTCGTGCGTGTGTGTGGCTGTCAGTTCGTGGCTGCAGCTGGGTCGGTGTCTGGCGGAGCTCGGCTGCTCGACTGCACGGTGTGTGGAAGGGTGACGTGGGGTGGGGGGCCCTTGACGGTGGGCCCAGCAAGTGGATTCCTCAGGTTTCCTAAACAGACAGGAAACCGTCCTGTCAACACCTGAGAGGACACAGACCTACCTTCCCTCAGGCCTCCACGGTCCCTGGAGCCCTAGGGCAGCAGGGCGCGGTCTCGGCCCCACACCCAGAGATCGGGATCAAAAGCCTGGATCTGGAAAGACAAACAGCCTCCTGAAGAGATGACGACTCTGCAGCTGGACCCCCACCCTCCCTTGTCCAGCCTCCAGTTCCTTCTCTTCCCAAGTCCCAACTCCAATCCTCCAGGATCCCCTCTCTCTGCAGTTGGGCCCTGCCCCTCCCCCAGCCCCCAAGCCCACCCACCTCCTCGCACTCTTCCCGGGTGACCCTCATCCTCCAGTCCATGGAACGGACGAACTGTAATCGCAGTTTGTGGAACAAGGGGCGCTCAGCGCGGTTTTTCCCATAGAGGAAGGAAAAGATGGCCTGTTTGGGGGCCTGGTTATCCTCTTCCATGTCGTTGGCCAGGTAGCTGGGGGAGACATCAGGATGGGCTCAGGAGGGGACCAGGAAGGCCCTCCGCCTGGGGTCAGCTTCCCAGACAGGACGCAGGCTCATCATCTTCACACCGGACCTGCGGAGCCCTGCCCAGCGTCACAGAGTGCCACCCAGCCTCCAAAACGCCACTGCTGGGCAGGGACCCGAAGGACGCCTCTCACACTTTGATGATGAAGACAAAACCCAAAACCCCTCTTCCCTTCCCCGGGTGTCTGTGCCCACAGCCGTCTCCTCAGACTGTGAGCACACATGCAGCTCCTGAGGGCAGGAAGGGATGTGACGCTATTTCTGACTTCATCCTTCCCGCCAAGTGACTGACACAGGCCTTGGTTCCTATTGATGCATTAATTCAACAGCACATCTTGACTGTCTCTTCCTGTCACCTCGTATTCCCTGGCATGCAGGAAACACTTGATATGGTTTTGTTAAATGAATGATTGAATGGATGGATGAGTGAGTAAATGCTTTATCTCATAGCCAAATGCAATACTGATCACCTCCTAGACACAACATACCTTAAACTTTTACAAAATGAGAAGAGTTGTGCTGAGTGTTTTGAGAATGCACTGAGGTTTTGACAGGACCTGCCGTCAACAGGTGTCTAGTCTAATGGGCTAAAGAAGGGGAGCGCAGAGATAAGAAATAACTATAATCCAAGAGACCGCATTATAATTAAAGTGCTACCGGGAGGCAAAAGTCAGGGAGGGCCGGGAAGGCATCAGGAAGGTTCCGATGTTTGAACCGACTCTAAGGATAGGCATTTTCTCCAGATAAATACGCATGAGGGGCAGCTAGACGGAAAGCACCAGACGGAAGCAGAGGGAAGGGTGTTTGGAGAGAGCAGTGGACCAGAGGGATGAAATATCAGGAGAGAGTGGGTTTGATGGAGACACTAAAGACGGTTGCATTCAAACGGAGGACTCTGGCCTTGATTTATGAGGCACTGAGCCCAGGGAACGGCGAAGGAGGGTGTGGAGGCGCTAGACCTGTGTTTGGAAGGATATTCAGGCAGATAAAGCCCACTGGCCTGGGGGAGAATGTAGGAAACACCCGCATTTTATGATAGATCTGTGTGAGGTCACGAGGCCCTGAACCGCGGCCTCGGTCCTGGGAATCCAGAGGAGGGGGACAGTGACACTTGGTGTTGATCTGGGAGGAGAGAGAGGATCAGAAAGGGCACCTTCGATGGCCTGTTTGCTTGGGGGCAGGATGCTGTCAGCTCTTCCTTTCCCTACTTTTAGGATGTTTGCTGTTTTCTTTTGTTTGATCTTTTAACTGACCTTGGCATTATTTGTTTTTGCAAAGAACAGCATGAAAAAACACTATACAGTAACCCTGTCATTTTTATGCAGAGAGGAAACTGGACAAATAAGTTCAAGCAGAGGAGAGGGCAGGGTCCCACTTCTCTCCTCCACCCTCCCAGGGGCAGAACATTGACTGAAGGGAGCAGGGGAAATACTCACAGAGCGATGAAGAAATGAATCCGCCGGTACTGCCAGGAGAAGAGGCCAGCCCGTCTCGAATAAACCTATGACCATGGACAGCAGATACTGATGGAAACAGGAGGGGAAAAAAATCACCCAAAGATGTCCCACCCTGGAGGGGGAGGAACAGCGGGATAAGGGGGCGGGAACTGGGGCAGGTGCTGCTGCTGCTCAGAGAGGAGACCCCTGTGTTGAGTGAGCCTGCGCGTTTGGGGAGGGGCAGGGGTCGTCAGAGGCTTGGAGTTTCAGATGCTCCCAGGACAGCAGGCTCTGCTCCTTTGAGGGTCTATGTTGAGGACGGCCCGCACAGGAGAGCCTTTCATAAGCTGGAGCAAAAGGGAGACCCAGGAGCTGAGAGGAGAGAGGACTTAAGGTGGCAACAATCAAAGGGGCTCGCCTCCCGCTCAGGTCCCAGAGGATCTGCACGAGACCACGAGGCTCCCGACGGGACCTGGGACAGGCGTCAGGGTGGAGAGGGAAGTGACCTGTGGGATCTGAGAGCGCTCCCCCGCCCCAGGAGAGATGCTGGAGCAGGAGTCCATCTGAGCGGAAAACACTGTACCTTGTCAGATACCAACAGATCTCGGTCCCAGGCCAGGAATCTTTTAACGACAGGATCCTCTGAGAAGAGAGGGCACATGTTAGGGTGACAACCGGAACAGGGCTGCTTTGGGAGCGTTCCAGAGTAAGGAGGACCAGGCCTCCCTGGGAGAAGTGTTTGCATTGTGTTCAAGGGTGAGGCTGATGGGAAAAGGGGAGAGAAGACCATTCAAGAAAGATGGTGCCCCCCTTGCCTGGGGCGGCTGAGTGAGAGGTAGGTGTCCGTCGCATGTCTGCGTGGCTCAGATCTGACATAAACAGTGATGCTCCCTCACCATGCATGAGTGTACACTGCAGAGGCCGCAAAGTCACTCAGTCACTTTCTCAACTGACAGCCACATCAGAGTGCAGAGGGAGCCTTGCCATCCCCCTTAGACATATTCAAAGGCCAGCAAGAGTGAAGACGTCTCAGAGGGACAGTCAAAACCAAGCTCTTATCCCAAGTGCACACTCTTCCCAAGTCTTGCCCAACCCTCTGTGACGCCTAAGTGTCTCCAGCGAGTGATCGTTACTCAGTGCTCCAAGAAGGAGAGCACAGCACCTGGCAGGGAATTCTTTTCCACTGGAAATGGGTAGTCATTGGAAGTTTCTTCTCTTTTTAAAAAAAGGATAGGATTGGGCTGCCCTGCAGTGTTTTGGTTAAGTTCGCGCATTCCACTTTCACCGCCCAGGTTTCATGGTGCTGGATCCTGGGCGCGAACCCATGTGCAACTCATTAAGCCATGCTGTGGCGGTGACCCACAAACCAAATAGAGGAAGATTGCACAGATGTTAGCTGAGTGACAGGCTTCCTAACCGAAAAAAAAAAGAATAGGATGGAGGGTGCTGTCGGGGGCTCTTCCTACCGAGCAGTGTGGTGAAGACCTCGTGGTGTTCAGGCAGCACTGTGGACGCCCGCTGTTTCTTCAGCTTCATCCTGAGTCCACACAGCCACTCCACCGCCCAGCTGTCCTCAGCCTTGGCGGCTGTCTCCTCCTCCGTCTCCTCCTGGAGAGACTCCGACCACTCCCTCTTCCTCTTCAGGCCCGAGGACTCAGGCAGGGGCCTGGGATCTACCCAGCGGGCTGAGGAAAGAGACCAGGCCAACACTTCAAGCTTTTGTCTTTGGAATTCAGCCATTGGTCACCCAAGCGCCAGCCACCCCGAAAACCAAACCTCCTCTCCATTCTCTGCAGCCTCGTAGACTATTGGCCTTCTCCCAATCCATCTCTCCATCTTGCTCCTCGATGACATCCATCTGCTCCCATTCACCTGGTCTTTGTTCCCTCGCCCTGTGCTCAAAACTCCTCCGCATTATAGACAATTTCTCCCATTTGGAAAAGAACACAAAAGGAAGCCTCCACTTGTTTCCTCTCTTCCCTTTCTCACCCTTGGATCTCAGCTCCTAACCCTCCTCCCTTGCTTCCCAGGTTCTCTTCCTTCCATGTGGATATCCTGGTCCCCCACTCCTGTGTGCTCCTTCTCCAATCCCCGGCTTTCGGCATCTCTCCTTCTCGCACACACACCCTGCTCAGCTACTCCTTCCTGACTTCTGTTCCTTCTCCTCCTTACTGGTCGACCCTCTCAGACCCCTTCTCACTCCAGCTTCCTCACCTGATGGTCCTGGGCTTTCTTCATTCACTATCACCTCCAGGGGGTACCCTGACGTGCTAGGCTGGGGACTCGGTGGACGACTGCTCATGATTTCTCCCAAACTCTTTCTTCCCTGCCAAGAAAGCTACACCCTAGTCTGCCCCAAATCCTCCTCTGGATTCTGGCTGAATATAAGCCCGTTATCCCTTCTCCAAGCTGTGGAGAAGCTAGGAGCGGAGAAAAGCTCTGAGAAGATGCTGTTGGCCACCTCCGCTGCCAAGCACCACGGAGTTTGGTCCTTCCAATCAGGAAGGTCGGAAGCCTCTGATGTCATCGTCATTCCAACCTGGCAACCAGTTTGAAGGAAAATGCGTGTAACTGCCAAACCAATGTGTGCACTTCTCCTGGAGATCAGGGGTAAGCGAGAACTCCTGCCACTGACCCCACCTCTGACCATCCTCCTCAGCCATCCTCCAGGGGTCCGGATGCCTTGTCATCCCTCCCCAGCAGATGCCCTGTTCTCTCCATTCTAGACTTGAGACACGTTGGACTCTCTCCCTCCTTCCTGATCCTATTTCAGAGCATAGTCTGTGGGGGAGGAAGGGAAGTGAGGAGGAAACTGAGGGGAAGCGGAAATGGGAAGACCTTATAAGAGTGAAATAAGTATGTAAAAACCATCCCAGGTGCATTGACTTCTGGATTAAAAAGTCACTAAAACACTCAATTTGGCCAAGCTCTTCTGCTCCGTGGTTACTGACACTCTGCTCAGGATTCTGTGCTGGGGACACACAGCCTCTACCCTCAGGCATCTTTGAGTCAAGGGACATTTTGAGCACCTAAGACCATAGAAAACTGTACCTGTGCTCACACACACACACACACAGACACCCTGACACTTCACATGGTGTCTCCAATCTCAAGGAGTCTGTGGATTGCCTAAAGTCTGCCCCTCGATTCCAGTTAAGAAACTCTAGTCTACAGAACAAATTTTTGACCGTGTGCATCACTCTTGACCCAGAAATTTCACTACCATTTGTGTATCCTATGAATAAAATGTCACATGCACAAAAAGACGACATGGAAGAACCTCCAATTCAAGACAGAATATGATGTTTCTGTGAAGATGGGGAGGACGTGGGGGTACAAAGTGCAGGAAATAGCCACCTTGTCTAGATAGGTCACAACTAGGCAGTGCCCATCTTAAGATACGTCGGTATGTTGTTCAAAAGTGGACTAAAGAGCCCACGTTGGGTGTGACATGTTTGGGGGAAACTCCTCCTGTGGAGCGGTTTCACCACAGTGGCTGTAGCGACAGAGCAGAAATATCAGCAGAGTGAAGCAGAAGTGCTGTGCAAACACCATCCTTTCCACGTGAGGGTCACATGGAGAAATTCAAATACAGATGCCTGGACCCAGCCCCATAGATTCTAACAGAACTGAGGTGGGGCCTGATTTAACTTTCTCATGGACGCACACTGGGATCTGGAAATTTCTGGGTTGGATGTGCCACCCAGGTCAGGGCAATGGGGATCCTAAAGAAAGCAACGTCACTGCTGAGTGAAATAAACAGAAGGGAGGTCAGCTGTGATCTGGGCCTCACATGGCAGGGCTGTGGCCAGGCTGAGTCCATGCTGAGCGGGCCTTATGAACCAGCCTCCAATCCTCCTGCCAACCGGCCCACGACAACCCCTCCAGCAGCCTCGGTGCTGACGTGGACAAGGAGACCTGCGATCCGAGTTTGTCCTGAGCACCCACCCAATGGTGCATGTGCCCATGAAGAAACTGCCCTCTCCTCCAGGAAGCTCACCACTTGCCAGGGGCTGCCCATCTGCCCGTTCTGTCATCCTCCAGGGAACAGTGGTCACTGTACCTCCCCTTCTGTGACCTAAAAGACCTAGAAAAACCCCTGGGAGAATGACAGCGACTGCTAAATCACAGAAGAGAATTCCGTGACGGGGACATGGAGGAGAGGTGCTGGCTGTTGCCCTCGAAGGTCTGGTGTCTGAAGCTAATTATTATGGGCAAATCTTGCTCGTTAACTTTTATACCCCCCTCCCTCATGGCTGAGATATTCTTGGTGGATCCCCAAAGAAGGTTCGTTGGACTCTGGGATTCATTGCCCATCTGCCAAGTCTTACAAAAAGTTGTTTAAACACCAATGTGCCCATTTATGTTAGAAAAGGTCTTTTGAAATAAACATTTGTCATTCATAAGACACTTCAGGAGCACTGTCTCATTTTCTTTGTTGAGGTGGGAAACTGGGTTCGAGTATTTGATTTTTAGACATGACGGTATTCAGTAGTACAAGTGAGCAGTGGAGGCCGGTGACCCAGGCTGACGGGCCCTCTCCTCAACTTCACCGTGGCCCTTCCAAGCTGCTCAGAGAAGCTGCCATCCTTCACCTGGTGAAAATGGAAAAGGATGTGGGGAAATGGTCCCTGCATGTTTTCCTGGCTCAGGCCCGGAGGAAGTGTGGTTCGCTTGCTCCCATTGCAGCATTGCCTCTGTGAGAACTCAGGCACAGGCCACGCTTAACAGCAGCAAAGCTGGGAAAGACCCTTCCTGGCCACGCAGCCCCTTCCAAGAGCAACTTGGGAGGCTCCCACGTTTGTGTGGGATTCGGGATTCATCTAACACTGCAGTTCAGCTGGGGAAATCAGGAATGGGTGACGGGCCCATTCATTTGGGTGAATCAGTACTTAGTCCCTTATTTTTTTAAGAGCATTTTCTAGAAAACTTTTACTATAAATACTTCCTCTGTCAGTTGCATATGTATCTAAATCTTTGAAAAGCTAAGTAAGACTCTCCCCAGCATTACAACCCACGGTTGTTTTTTAAGGGCCTGATAAGAGCTCTCTCTTTAAAATGTAAACCTCAGGGAAGATAATGTCCCTATCTCTGTCACCATGGGCCTTTGGGCTAGATGTTAGGCATCTCGCTCTGAGCTATAACTCCCTGCTTGTCATACAGATAGAAGTTTTCTTTTTCCTTTGGGTACAGGTGGACGGCCACCCTGACTACCAGGTGCATTGAGGATGATCTATGAAAGAATGCACAGCAACTGGGGCTGTCTAGTCCCCTTACAGGAGGCAAGTTACCGTCCATCTTGAGACGATGGCCGTACTGGATTATCTGTGTTGAGCTGGATAAAAAGATGAGGTACTGTTCTCTCTTTGCAGTCTTACTAGTGGTCCCCGTGCTAATGCATAACAGTGTCTTGACTTAACGGTCATTCAACAACAAAACTGTTCCTTATTTCTACATTTCTGGAGAGGATCTGGGTTGGCAGGAGATTTTAGTTTTAATCCCAACCCCAGCTTTTAAGAAACAATTGGTCAAGGACACGGTCAAATTAATTCACCAAAACAGTAATGATAATCATGGTCATTCTTATCCCATGTTTGAACAACGACACTGTTCCCTACCACAAACTGCATCCTCTTTGAGAGGTAAGATCCCAGGTATTTGTTTTATTTTGCGGTTTGTGTTTCCTTTCTGACTTTCCTACACTTTTTATGCATTAGGTGTCTAATCCACTAGAGCTACAATGTCTGTACTCTTGTTCTTCCTTGGAGAAACTATACGCCCACGGGTGATAGTAATTCACGTCACGGCGGGGCATTAACTGGATCCTAGTCTTTCATTGAAACTTCTCCAGGTATTTCAGTCAAGGGGACATGATCCACACTTTCCTTCCCCTCTGCTGGTGGTGGGGGAGTCTCAGTTCTAACCCAAAAGATCTCAGCGCAGGGAAAAGATCAGGGATCCAGGACACAATCGCACCGCCTCCTAGTTGAGGCGACACTTTCCTTGAGCCCTAACAGCAGTGAAGATAAAGGGGAAATTGCGTCCCAGGTCTTAGCGGCCAATTCTCAAAATATGGCTCGATGATGTACAGAGTTTTAAGACGTTCCCTAAACGTGTCGGCGCGTAGACTCACGGGAAAGAGAGTCCTGGTGTGTGTCTGGCTCCCTGGAGCGGGCCCTGGCTGGCGTACTTCCGGCATCGTGCTGCGCATGTGCATCTGCCCTGTGTGCGTGTCCGCGCACGCGCACTGCCGCCGCTGCTGCCCAGGCTTCCTGTTGGTGCCCAGGTCACGGCTCGCCCTCCTTCCCAGGCTCCGGCGTCGGGCGGCGAGCATTCCGGGCCTCCGGGGTCGGACGCCGTGCGGCCGGGCCGGCCCCCAGCGGGCGCGGGTTCTGCGGGCCGGCAGAGACTCTAGGGGGACCCCCGAGCGCGCCCGGGAGCCCGCGGGCTGGGCCGTGGGGTCGGCGGGTCCCGGTCCCGGTCCGTGTGCACCCCCGGCGGCCCGGGCGAGGCTCTTGGGCCGGGGCGTCCCCGGGAGGCCGATCTGGGCCGGGAGGGACGGTGGCCCGAAGTGAGTGTGTCCCGTAGGCCCGGAGCCGGCTCCTGGGGGGGCAGCGGCCTTGGGAGGCGGAGAGGAGGGGACCCGGGAGAGAAGGCGCCGGAGGAGCAGCCCCCGGCCCGGGGCCTCGGCGGCTGGGGCGGATGAGCGAGTCCCGGCGGGGTAGGTGGCGGGCGTGCGGGCCTCGAGGCGGCCGTGGGTCTCCCCGCTGCAGTGAGCGGGGCTGGGGGCCGGGCCCGGGCGGAGGGCGCGAGCGTGTGCGACGGGGAGGTGGAGGCCTCCCGGGGGGCCGCGTGGCTGCGCGGGGTGGGCGCTACGCGGGGCCTGGTGAGGTCAGGGTTTCCTGGGGTTGGAGGGCCACGGCCTCGGCTGCGGACGCGCCGTGTCCACTCCTCTCTCACGTCCAGCACCCCTTCCTGCTCCTCCTGTCCTCTCCAAATTCCACATGTGTCTCTAAAGGCCACCAGCACCTTTGTTCTTTGATCTTAGGGATGCTGATTCCCCCTGGGTTCTGTCCTTCTGGGATCACAGCCAGCAGAGCAGGATGAGTCTGCCGGGTTCTGTCTTGCAGCCTCTGATGACAGAGGAGGAGGTTGTGCCTGAGAAGGGACGTGACTTGTCCAGGGTCAGCGGGTCTGTGGGTGGGATTGCAAACAGGACTCAAACTCCCATCCCGAGTGCTGTGTCCTCTATTACAGTTTTCTTAATGCAGCGGTAACCATGTTTAGTCAGTCGTTTTAAAAACAAAACCGTGCTGTAATGCACATGTATCTCACTTTTGAGAGCTCGTATTCTCTGTTCCTGTGGATTCTTTTATTTTGAACAGTTTAGAAAGACAGTAGGAAAATCGTAAGCAGTGTAATGGGAATTTTTTTGCACCTTTTATTTAATGGTGGCAAACTATTTGAAAAAGGCATCAATGTCTCTGTTCACCAACGAGAGTAACGTGTCCAGTTACCTCCTGATCGTGCTGGAGTTCCACCGTGGGGTGTGCGGTCCCCTATCGCCCTTTCAGCCCCGCTGACTGTGCCCAGGGTGTCCCTCCATTGAGCTCTCCTTGGTGCTTCTTAGGCAGGAGGTTCCTGCCTCCCGGCCAGCTCACCCAGGACTTCAATCACTTGCTTCTCCTCCCCCAGGTCCACTGTTAACAGTCTCTACGCTTTTCCAAGAGCAGCAGAAAATGAGTGAATCCCAGGTGAGTCTTCCTGTCTGCGCATACGTTCCCCCACCTTGTTTTCTAACACATCTTAGGAGATTTAGAAGGATCCGTACTTTAAAACGGGAACGTAGAAACAGATAAAAGACATGATCACTTCAAGTACAGTGGTGAGAGCGAGAGATCAGCACCAAGAGTCCTCGGCTAGCTCCTGTGTGTGGGCGCTGTGGGACCCCAGGGCTGCTGAAGCTGAGCTGCAGATAGGACTGATGTCCTTGATGGTCACAGAAAAAGGAAAATGCCATCCTTTACGCGGTTTGTATTCACTACAAGAAGACACCATTGTTGTTACTTGTGGGTTGTAAAGATTTGCTAGCATCCGGAAAATCTTCTTTCACAAGGTTGATAAACTGTGGATAGCTTTCTTAATAAGACGGCTACATGGTGCATCTATGGCTTATCCTTCTTGCTTATGTAAGCAGAGGGCCTGCCTCCCAGGGAGCACTGAGTGCATAGGATTCTGTTGGCTGAAAAATAATTCACCTGTAAATATTTCTGAATGTGTCTTTAAATGATAAGGAGTCTTTTAAAAAGTGGGTGGGGATAGCCCACTGTACCATTCATTCTTAATACATAATATTCAGTGTTCAAAGTTTCACGATTTTCTCAGTGTCTTCTGCTTTGTTCTGTTCACTCAGGATACAGGTAAAGTCCATACGTTGCAGCTGGTTCTAATTCTTTTAAATCTTTAATAGTATCTCCCGCTCTGTCTCTCTTGTGTTAGTTCTTTGGAATTTATTATCTGAAGAAATTGGGTGGTTTGTCCTCAGTTTCCCACAGTCTGGGTTGTGTTGATTGCCTCGCCATCATTTTAATTTCACACCTTTTTTTATTTCCAGTTGACCTTGTGAAATCCGTAGTTAAATCTAGAAGTTTACTCAGATTCATGTTCACTTGTTTTGGCAAGATTTCCTTGTATGTGACATTCGTGTCCTTTCTTCTGGAGGTCCGTATCGCCCTCCTCTTTTTGTTTTTGCGATGTCAGCATCTGTTGGCGATGTTTGTTGTTGTGATCTACTAACTCAAGAGGGGAGACAGAAACATCATCGGCTACTGCCATTTCTTCTCATTTACCAGCCAGACTACTTTTCTAAAGAAAAACCTCTCTCTATTTGGTCTGTGGTTCATACAGGAAAGAACATTTTCAAAATACTGAACAGGCTCCTGAGCCACAGGATTTTTGTTTGTTTCGTTTTGTTCTCATGAGCTCATGGGTTTAAACGTATTTGTAAGTATTTCAGTACACTGAAACTTTTAGTTTTTCTGATGTTTAAATGGGTCCATCTTTGACCAGCAGAATCCCTTCGAGTCGGTTTCTGAGTCCTTTTCAAACATTCCCTACCTGTTTGATAGCATTCTTTTTTGTTCAACATTTTATTGGGGAAAAACTTCAAATTTACAGCAGAGTTGCAAGGATTGTACAAAGAACTCCCATGATCCTTTTGCCCAGATTCTCCAATTTTTGACATTTTCCCACATTTGCTGTATCAGCATCTCCGTGTGTAGATACATATTTTTTCCCAGACTGAGAGTAGATGTCATGTCACGCCCCTTCACCCTGTAACATTTCAGATAGTATCTCCTATGATCAAGAATATTCTCTTACATATCCTGACACAGTCATTAAATTCAGGAAAATTAACTATGATATAGTACTTTATCTCATCTGGAATTCATCTTCCAGTTTTTCCCATTTTCCCAGTAACTTCTTTATAGCAATTTTTTGTTTCTGATAGAGGATCCAATTCAGGATTATAAATTGCATTTGGGTTTCATGCTTTGTAAGTCTGTTTAAAAAGGAGTAGTTTCTCAATGCTGTTATAATATTTGAAGAATACAGGCTAATCATTTTATAGGATTCTTTGGATTTAGATTTCTTTGATGTTTCTTCATGACTGGATTTAGTGTGACTTTTTGGCGGGGCTACTACAGGAACAATGACTCTTTTAAACGTGTGGCCCAGCACAGGGTGTCTCTTGGGAAAGTTCCCCGTGCACTGGAGAAGCTGCCTGCCCGGCTCTTGGAGGCTGGGCTGTTCCGTAAACGTCAGATCAAGTTGCACTGTTGTCCAGGGGTGCTGTATCCTCGCCGATTTCCCACCTACTTGTCCCATCAGTCGTGAGAGAGGGGAACCGAAATCTCCTGCAACAACCGTGGATAATCTGCTTCCCCTTGCAATTCTGTAGTTTCTCCTTTATGTATTTTATTAGGCACGTTGACATTTAAGATTGCCATGTTCCCTTGATTGATTAACCACCTTGTCCTTGTGAAATGGCCTTCTTTACCCCTGGTAACATTCTGTTCTGTGAAATGGACTTTCTCTCACATTTATAGAGCCCCACCAGCTTTCTTCTGAGTAGTGTGGGCATGCTGTGTCTTATTCCATCCTTCTACTTTTCACCTGTTTGCATCTTTACATTTAAAGTGCATGTCTGGGGGCCGGCTCCATGGCTGAGTGGTTAAGTTCGCGCGCTCCACTGCGGCGGCCCAGGGTTCGGATCCTGGGCGCGGACATGTCACCGCTCGTCAGGCCACATTGAGGCGGCGTCCCACATCCCACAACTAGAAGAACCTGCAACTAAGATATACAACTGTGTACAGGGGGGATTTGGGGAGATAAAGCAGAAAAAAAAAAGATTGGCGACAGTTGTTAGCCCAGGTGCCAATCCTTAAAAAAAAAAGGGAAGATTGGCAACAGTTGTTAGCCCAGGCGCCAAACTTTAAAATATAAATAAATAAAGTGCATGTCTGTAGACAGCATATAGTTTGGTCTTGCTTTTTTCCCCCCTATCTGACAATCTCTGCCTCTTAACTGGGGTGTGAAGACCATTTACATGTAATGTGATTACTGACGTAACTGGGAGATAATAGTCTTGTCTTTGTTTTCTATTTGTCTCACCTTGTTGGATTCCTTTTCCTTCTTGTCTTCCTTTCTTTCGATTGATGTTTTGTTTTGTTTGTTTGTTTGGCAGGGAAGAATTCACTGTGAGCTAGCATCCGCTTCCAATCTTCCCCCCCTTTTTTTTTTTCTCCCCAAAGCCCCCCAGTACATAGCTGTATATCCTACTTGTAAGTCCTTCTATGTGAGCTGCCACCACAGCATGACAACTGATAGATGGGTGGTGTGGTTCCATGACCGGGAAATCAACCCAGGCCACCGAAGCAGTGAAAGGGCCAAACTTTAACCACTAGACCATCAGGGCTGGTTCTCAGTTGAGCATTTCTTATTATTCCACTTCATATCCTTTCTTGGGCTGTGAGCTACAATGGAGTTGATATTTTAGTGGATGCTTTATGGTTTATGCAACTTTAATTTATCATAGTTTATCCTCAAGGAGCATCCCATTTCACTTTGAGTATAGGAGGCTTATGATGATTTCCATTTCTCCCCTCTTGGTCTTATACTATTGTTATATGTTACTTCTACAGATAGTATCAATCCTACAATATTGTTATTTTTAATTAAACAGTTATCTTTTAAAGAGATTCAAGTGATAAGAGAAAATACATAGGTACCACTACTGGTACTCTTCATTCCTTTGTGTAGATCCAGATTTTTATCTGCTGCCATTTTCCTTCTGCCCGAAGGATTTACCATATCTAGATGATGATGAATTCTTTCAGCTCTTGTATATCTGAAAATGTCTTTATTTTGCCTTTGCTTTTAAAAGGAGCTTTGCTGTGTTTTTTTTTCTAGTAGTTTAAAGGTGTTCCTCCACTGTCTTCTTGCTCACGTTGTTTGCAAGAGAAATCTGATGTCAGCCTCATCTCTGTTCCTTTGTATGTAACGTCTTTTTTTTTTCCTCTTCCTGCTTTTAAGGTTTTTTCTTTATCACTGGTTTTGAGCAGTTTGATTAGGATATGTCTTGCTATTGTTTTCTTCATGTTTCTGTGCTTGGGGATCATCGAACTTCTTGGATCTGTGCATTTATGGTGTTCATCAACTTTGGGTAGATTTTGACCTTTATTTCTTCAGATATTCCCTCTGCCTCCCCCACCCTTCCCTCTGCGATACCTCTTACCTGAATATGACGCTGCTTGAAATTGTGCCTCAGCTCACTGATGCCCTTCGTTTTCTTTTAATTCTGTTTTCTCTGTGTTTCATTTTATACAGCTTCTGTTGCTGTGTCTTCATGTTCACTGATATTTTTTTCGGCAATGCTGTTAATCTAGTCCAGTGTAATTTTCATTTCAGATGTTGTTTTTATCTGTAGAAGTTCAATTTGAGTCTTTTTTTATATGTTCCCTGTCTCTGCTCAGTTTTTTTGAACATATCGAATACAGTTATAGGCTATTTTCATGTTCTCTGCTATTGTAACATCTCTGGCAGTTCCAGGTCCACATCAATTGATTGATTGATTAGTTTCTTGTGTGTTATACTTTCCTACCTATTTACCCCAATTTCCCAGCTCCTCCTCCTCTGCTCTCAGTTCTCCCTCCCTGCTCCACGGCTGGAGACTCCGGGCGGTAGCTGTAGGGCTCACCTTGTTTATGTCCCACCTCTCAGGGGTTACCGTCCATCATTGCCTGATGGTCGGGGGTTCTTGAAAACCATGGCCTTGTATATTTTGTCTGATTTTTGGTGTTGTTTCAGGTGGGAGGGTAAATCCAATCCTTGTTCGTCTTGGCTGAAAGCAGAATTCTTAATGTCTGTGTTTTGAGTCATAGTTAGAAAGCCTTTCCTCTCATCAGTGTTATGGAGAAATTCAAGTATGTGTCTTTCTGCACAGTTTCATATTTTACGCTTAGAACCCTGATCCAGTTGGAGTTTATTCTTTTATGTTGCAAGATTTGGATGTAGTTTTATCCACATCAAATGACTATCAGTTGCTCTGTCACTGTTTATTAAAAGTCAGTGCCACCTGATCACTGTATTATGGTTTAGTAATCATAATGTAGTCATAATCGTCATAATATATCGTATAATCATAGAAGTCTATTTCCAGACTTTGTGCTCTATTCTTTTCTTTTCCTTTTCA